GGCACAGCTGGGCACAGATGTGGGTGCAAGGCTGGCGCTGCCCAGATGTGCTCCCTCCTCGGGGAGGGGACAGCGCCTGTCTCCGGGCCCAGGACGAGGCTGGCACGGAGCTGGGGGGTGGGTGGCTGCATGCACACCTCTCTGCCCCCTCCCCACCCCCAGCTCCCACTGTCCCATGGCTCTGCCTCCCCACAACCACCTCAAATCCCTGACCTCGGTCCCGCACAGCCCCGTAACCCATCCTTGTCCCCACAGCTCCCTGACCCCACTGCAGCCCACCAGAACTCCTGTTCCCCTTGTTTCCATCCCGAATCTCCCCCTCACAGCCCCAGCTCCATCCCAGGTCCCCAGCTTCCTCTGCCTCCCCCTCCCAGCACCCCAGGCCTGTCCCTCAGGGTCACACTGACAGCTCAAACTGATCCCTGACCCCCCAGCCCTCTCTGCCACGTCTGTGTGGTGACAGTGACATGGGGGGAAGCCATGGTAAGTGCTGCCTGCCCGAGGTACCCCCCCTTCCCCAGGGGTCCTGTGGGGCACAGCCCATGCGCAGGGCACCACTGGGGTCATTTGTGGGGCAGCCCTTCCTGGTGAGCCCAGCAGGACCCCCATGACCATCACACTGGAGTGGCAGGGGACACTGACACAAAGCTCCTGGGGAAGCTGGGTGGTCTCCGTGTTACCCCAGACCCAACCCCACCCGCACTGGGGGGAGCACTCCAGCACCATGTGCCCCACTGTGCACAGCCAGCCCAGGTGCAGCTCCCTGCCCACTGCCCTGGCATTCCACCCCAGCCCGGAGCCTGGGGGTTCCTGGCAGCACCGTGTCCCCCCAGGGTGCCAGCCCAGCCCAGGCAGGCGCTGCAGCCCCCCAGGGCTGGCGGCAGCACGAGGCTCCTCGGCGGGTGAAGAGGGCCTGGGTGATCCCCCCCATCAGTGTCTCAGAGAACCACAAGCGCATCCCCCACCTCCTGGTGCAGGTAGGTGAGAGCCCCCCAGCCTCTGTCCCAGCTCTCCCCCACCCTGGGCAGGGGCATTGCACAGGGGCACCCCCAGAGGGGCGCAGACCCCCAGCCTGGGACCCCCAGCCCTGATTCTCCTGGGGCAGATCAAGTCAGACAAGCAGCAGCCCGGAGGGGTGATCTACAGCATCAAAGGGCCGGGGGTGGATGAGGAGCCCCTGGGCATCTTCTCCATCGACAAGTTCAGCGGGAAGGTTTTCCTCAACGCCATGCTGGACCGGGAGGAGCACGACCGCTACCGGGTAAGGAGGATCCTGGGTGCCCACAGCCCCTCCCTGGGCCCCCAGCCAGACCCCGACCCCCCCACTCTGCACCCACAGCTCAGAGCCTTCGCACTGGACCTGGGTGGGGTCACCCTGGAGGAGCCCACCGACCTGGAGATCATCGTGGTGGACCAGAACGACAACCGGCCGCTCTTCCGGCAGGACGTGTTCACCGGGCGCGTGGTGGAGGGGGCTGAGCCAGGTGGGTCCGGCCGGGGGGGCTGGGCTGGGCGGGGGGGCCGAGCCGGGCCTGTGCCAGCACCCACCGGGCGCCCCTGGGCCGCAGGGACCTGCGTGATGACGGTGGATGCCACCGACGCCGACGACCCCGACACGGACAACGCGGCGCTGCGCTATTCCATCGTGGAGCAGGGCGCCGCGGGGATGTTCAGCATCAACGCCACCACCGGGGAGATCTGCACGGCACGGCCCGGCCTCGACCGTGAGGTAGCGGCGTGGGGTCACCTGGGCGGGACCGGGGGGACACCGGCACTCGGGGCAGGCACGGACACCCCACGTGGTGAAACCACAGCTCCGTCCACGGGCAGAGCCAGGGCGGGTGGGCAGCAGCTGTTGGATCTCTGTGCTCCCTGGGGGCTGGGGGGCTCAGCTCTGTCCCCCCTATTCCCCACAGACCATGGGGGTGTACAACCTGACGGTGCAGGCGGCCGACATGTCCGGGGACGGGCTGACCACCACGGCCATGGCCGTCATCTACCTGGAGGACATCAACGACAACCCTCCCGAGTTCACCAAGGAGGAGGTAACAGCCGGCCTGCGGGGCCGTGCCGGGGTCAGCGGGGCGGGAGCTGCCCCCCGGGGGTCTGCAGCATCCCAGAGGGGCAGAGTCCAGCCCCACGCCGCTCTCCCCCAGTTCTCCATGGAGGTGGAGGAGCAGGCGGCCGGTGTGGACGTGGGCAAGGTTTTTGTGCACGACAAGGACCTGGCGGGCTCGCCCAGCTGGTTGGCCAAATTCACCATCCTGGAGGGCGACCCCGAGGGCGCCTTCGCCATCCGGACCGACCCCCACACCAACGACGGCGTGCTCTCCGTGGTCAAGGTGGGTAGGGGGCAGCCAGGGGTCCCCGGGGGTCTCAGGGCTCGGCTGACCCCTGGCCCCTCCCGCAGCCGCTGGACCACGAGGTGCGGGACCGCTTCGAGCTGACGGTGTCGGTGCAGAACGAGCGGCCGCTGGAGCCCTCGGCCCCCGGCAGCCCCCGGGCGCTGGCCACGGTGCGGGTGCGGGTGCGGGACGTCAACGAGGCGCCCGCGTTCCGCGAGAACCCGCGGCGGATCAGCGTCCTGGAGGGGACACCCCCGGGCACCCCCATCACCACCTACACCGCCAGCGACCCCGACACCCACCAGATCCAGACCCTCTCGTGAGTCCCGCTCCCCTCCCACGGCCCCGGCCCCCGCGGGGGGGTGGGGGCGATGTCTCACGCAGCCCCTCGCCCACAGCTACGCGCTGCTCTACGACCCCGCGGACTGGCTGCAGCTGGACCCCCACGCCGGCACCGTCCGCACCAAGCGGGAGCTGCTGCACCCCTCTGCCTTCCTGCAGGGCGGCTGGTACATCGCCCTGGTACTCGCCCGCGACGATGGTGAGCAGCCGCCCCCCCGGCCCCTCGCCCCCGCTGCCCCCGCTGACCCCTCTGCTCTGTCCCCAGCCGAGCCCCCGCTCTCGGCCACCGGCACCCTCTCCATCGAGATCCTGGAGGTGAACGACCACGCTCCGCAGCTGCAGCCGCCGGCCGGGGTGCTCTGCGGGCGGCCGGGCCGCGGGGGGACCCTGCTCCTGGGGGCCACCGACGATGACCGGCCCCCCCACGGAGCCCCCTTCCACTTCCAGCTCAGCCCCCAGCATCCGCAGCTCGCCCGCAACTGGAGCATCGCCCGCTTCAATGGTGAGGGTCGGCCGGGGCCCTGGGGGCGATGCTGCACGGAGGGTCCCGCTGACCCCTGCCCACCCCGCAGTGACCCACGCCGTGCTGGCCGTGCTGGCGGAGCTGCCCGAGGGGCCCTACTCGCTGCCGCTGCTGCTCCGGGACTCGGGGACGCCCCCGCGGGAGCAGCAGCAGCTGCTGAACGTCTCGGTGTGCCACTGCGGCCGCGACGGCACCTGCCTGGACGGGGCACTGGCCGCGGCCACCGCCGGGGCCGGCATCACCCTCGGGGCGCTCATGATCATCCTGGGCAGCACCATCCTCCTCCTCGGTGAGTGCGGCCCGCTCCGTCCTTCCCCAGCCCTGCACCCCTGCCCACGGCACCCCGGCCCCGTGCTGGTCTGGCCGCCCCTCCCGAACCCCAGCAGCCCATTCTGTCACCTTGACCCCCACCCAGCACCCCATCCTGGGCCTGGCCTCCCACCCAACCCTACCCAAACCCCCAGCACCTCCCCCTACCCAGCAACCCCTTCTGACCGCAATCCAGACCCTCTCATTTCCCTCGCTGCCCATCCCGCCCCAATCCCACCCCAAACCCTGCCTCCACCCCAATCCCTCCTCCCAGCCCCACCGCGTCCCACCCCAGCCATCGCCCCGTGCCTCCCCATGCCCACACGCGTGTCCCGTGTCCCGCGTGGCCGTGTCCCCGCAGTGCTGGCGGCTCTGGGCGCTGCGCGGGTGCGCGGGCGCCGCCGGGCTCTGCGCAAGGGGCTCCTGCAGCGCTCCCGGGACGACATGCGCGACAACATCCTCAACTACGACGAGCAGGGCGGGGGCGAGGAGGACCAGGTGAGCAGGACCCGTGGCAGGGGGGTCCCGGGGGTCCGCAGCTCAGGCCTGCGCCCCTAAACCCCTCCCGGCCCCGCAGGACGCCTACGACATCAACCAGCTCCGGCACCCCGAGCTCTTCTCCCCCCGGGCCAAGCCCCCCCTGCGCAGGGACGCCCCGCTCAGCTCCGGGACCCCCATGGCCCCCCGCAAGTTGCCCAGCAGCCCCTCCGACATCGAGGACTTCATCAATGAGGTGGGTCGGGGCCCGGCAATCCCCCACCAGTCCCCCACTGCCGGGGGTGACGGTGCCCCCCTGTCCCTGCAGGGGCTGGAGGCGGCTGACAGCGACCCCAGCGTGCCCCCCTATGACACGGCCCTCATCTACGACTACGAGGGCTCGGGCTCGGTCGCCAGCCCCCTCAGCTCCATCGTGTCCAGCCTGACGGACGAGGACCAGGACTACGACTACCTGAGCGAGTGGGGGCCCCGCTTCCGCCGCCTGGCCGACCTCTACGGGCACTAGCGGGGATGGGGGCAGCGGGGGACAGCCCACTGCCCAGGGAGGGGCTGGGGCAGGGCGGGGCAGCGGGCAGCTCACACACACACACAGAGGACATGCCCACAGGAGGCGGCTTCACGAGTGGACCCGCACGGGATGCCCGGCTGGAGCGGTTTGCACACGCGTGTGCAACGAGAGCCTCCGTGCGGGGGTGCACACCCACACCCCGCAGAGCCCAGCTCAGCAAACCTGGGGGGCCACCCGGGTGAGCCCCACACAGCTGGGGAGGGGCGAGGAGACCCCTGGGCACCCCCATAATAAAGAGCGGGGCTTGGTGGCGGGGGTGTGTGACCCCCTCACCAGCGACCCGTAGAAACAAGGCACTTTTATTGGGAGCCGGCAGACCCCCGGGGGGCTTCCCCCCAGCCCCAGGGCCCCCAGCACCGCTGCTCCTGGGGCGGGACCCGGCCCCACCGCGGGGTGGGCGCTGCCCCCCAGCCCACGCGTCCTGCTGCTCCCCTAACATCCCTGGGGGGAGGGGGTCCCTGCTCAGCCCCCCGCAGCAGGGAGAGCCCCGGGGAGCGCGGGGAGCACGGCTACATCTCGCGGGGGGGCTCCGGGGAGCGCAGCATCCTCTTGGTGGAGGCGGCCAGGCAGGAATAGTCGTGGGGGATGGCGTGGGGGGCCAGCAGGGGCAGGTGGTCCTCGCGGGGGGGGCGGCGGAACAGGGGCGGGCGGCGCTGGCTCTCGCCGTCCTGCAGGGACTGGGGCAGGCCCCGGCCCTGGCTCTCGGGCAGTAACATGATGCTGAGCACGGCCAGGATGGCGAAGGAGGCGAACACGACGTGGTGCAGGAAGAAGCCGCGGCTGTTGGGGATGGCGGTGATGGGCGCCGCAGCCTTGCCCACGAAATTGGCGCCCACGACCAGGCCCAGCCCGGCGCCCCTGCGGGACGAACAGGCTCAGGGGGTCCTGCCCGCTGCCCCCCGCTCCGGGGCAGCACAAGAGGGGGGCAGCTCCCCCTTTTACCTGACCACGGTGGGCAGAACCTCGCTGGCGAAGAAGATGCTGAGCATGGTGACGGCGTGGGAGGCGGCCGTGCCCACCACGGACAGGGTCAGCACGATGAGCTCCAGCAGGTCTGCCGGGGGGGGGAAGCACGTCAGGGGGCAAATCCCGCACCCACCTTTCCTCCCCCCGGCCGGGGCTGCGTGCCGGGGGTCCCGCGGGGGCTTACACTGGGTGAGGGCCAGCAGCAGGAGGGAGGAGATGCCGGTGAGGACGGTGCAGAGCAGGAGGATGGCGCGGCGCCCGAAGCGCTCGGCGGTCAGGCACACGAAGAGGCAGGCGGCCGCCTCGGTGCCCAGCAGCGCCAGGTGGGAGGAGAAGAAGTGGGGCAGGTGCGGGACCAGGTTGCGGGTGAAGCAGTGGCGGATGCCGGAGCCGATGAACCTAAGGGACAGCGGGGTCAGGGGGCCGCGAGAGGGACCCCCGCCCCAGGGCCACCCGCCCGCAGCCCCGCCGCTCACGCCGCGAAGCCGAGGATGACGCCGTTCTTCCAGATGACCCTGGTGCTGCAGATCTCGCACACCGAGTGGTACCGGGGCCGCGGGGGCCCCTCGGACAGGGCCTCCAGCTCTGCCGGGACAGGGGAAAGCGGGATAGAGCCGGCTCTGTTACACCAGCCCCAGAGCAGGGCTTTGGGGATGCGGCCGATGGCGCTCGGAGCCCCCCACGCACCCGCGAGGAGGCTGTCCTGGGGGCAGTTGTCTTCGGCCAGCGCCTGCAGGGTCTTCCTGGCCCTCTCCGGTTGCCGTGTGGCCAGCAGCCAGCGCGGCGACTCCAGCAGCAGTGCCGGGCACCTGGGGCACGAGTGTCAGCTCACAGGGCTCCCCAGGGGCTGGCCACCCTCCAGCACTGACCTTCCCACCTGGCTTCAAAGCAACGCTGCCCAGAAACCCTCAGCTGCAAACCTGAGCAAACATTTACCCAGGGTGGGGGGGTTCCTACTCCTCTGGAGAGCCCCGGGTGGCCTTTGATCCCCACCGCGGCCCCGGGCAGGTGTCCTGGGCTGGGAACAGGGTGGCACCAGCCCCGGGGCACAGCCCAGCCCCACGCAGCCCCCTGCCCGGGGGTCCTTACCACCAGCTGGCAGCCAGCAGGGCCAGGATCATGGTGACAGCGCCCTGCAGCACCCGCCAGTCCCGGCACAGCAGGGCCAGCCCCGGCAGCAGCAGCTCCCCGGCGATCCAGAAGAATCCGGCCACCATCGTCACCCCCAGGCGGTGCGGGGGGTCACACAGCTCCAGCCCTGGCAGGGGGCGAGGGGGCCACAGTGGGTGCCAAGGACACCGGGCATCCTGCACCCTGGAGCACCCGGTATTCCAGACCACCCCGGGACAGCCTGCAGCATCCCACACCCCAGGGCGTCCTGGAGCATCCTCAGCCCCCAAACCCCCCCGGACGCCCCCCTCACACTCACGTGCCACGTAGAGGGCGAGGAAGGCTCCTGCCAGCGCGGCCCCAAAGAGCAGCCGTGCCACCAGGACCATGAGGAAATCCACGGCCAGTGCCACGGCCAGGCCCGCGGGCACGGCCAGCGCCAGGGACAGCAGGAAGGTGGGACGGCGGCCAAACCTGCCAGGGACGAGCTGTGAGGGGTTGGACACGGTGCCCCCTGCCCCGGGGGCTGCCCGGGGACCCCCACTACCTGTCACAAGCCAGGCCGGCGGTGACACTACCCAGCGTCCAGCCCAGCAGGTGCGTGGTCTGCTCCAGGGGCACCTTCCAGCGCGAGGCACACACCAGGTCCCACTGCGGGGACACAGCGGGGACGTGTCAGCGTGGGGGGCTTGGCAGACCCCCTGGCACTGCCCACAGGGCTGGGATGGATGGGGCTGCAGGGCGTCTGGAGAGCCCCCGCCCCACAAACAGAAATGTGGGGACAGAGGTGAGGGGGCAGTACCGGCGGTTCCAAGAGCCCTGGACACCCTCCAGCCCCTCAGCACCCTTCCGCAGGGCTCTCCCAGCCAGCCCCAAACCCCTCCAGGGGTCATTGCTGCCCGTGCACATCCAGGGCTTTCCCGTGGGATCCTTACCGGAGCCCCCAGCAGGTTCTGGTGGCTGGGACACCCCGGTTTGTCCCCCTGACTCCTCTCGGGTATCCCCCCCCAGAGCGTTCCCAGGCCCCTCCCTTGACCCCTCCTTTACCCACGGGACCCCTCATCCTCCTCCAGCGCCGCAGACTCCCCCAGGCCCGGGGGTCCCCCCTCTCCCCAGGCCTGGCACCCCCCGGTCGCAGCACCCCGTGCCCACCTGTGTGACGAGGTTGGCGCGGAGGCCGGCGGCGGGCAGCGCGTAGTGCCAGCCGCGGGTGCAGGGCCCGGTGCCGTTGGGGCGGGGGTCTCCGGAGGGGTACCGGTACAGCTGGCAGGGGCTCCAGCCGCCGCGGAGGCGCGGCACGGCGGCGCGGAGCAGCTTTGCCACCCTCCCAAGCCCCCCAGTTTTGTTCTCCAAGCCCCACTCTCCCTCCCCCAGCCCTGCTTGTCCCCCAGCCCCGGTTCACTGCCCCCACCCCAGCTCAGCCCCCCCTCTCCACGGTGCTCCAGACCCCTCTCAGACTGGGGGACCCCCTGGCCCAGCTGGTGTTGGGGGGTCCTGGGGCGCAGCCAGGGGTTCCAGGACCCATCTGGGAACACCCACAAATGCACCCAGGTCCCCCCGAACCTCAGAGGGGGCCAGTGGAATCCGTGACACCCCCTCTAGGAAGGGAACGTGTTGGCACCCAGCACCATGTGAGCCCGTGGGAAGAGCCAACAGAGCAGCCAAACTGCAAGCAGGCTTTATTCCCCTCTTCCTTCTAAAATTTACTCACAGATGTCATTTCTGGGGGCAGCAGCATCACCCGGGGGCTCAGCTTCAGACCTGCAATGATGGAAAAACTCCATCTGCAAAATCACATTGAAAACCACACTGAAAAATCACACCTGCAAACTCACATTGAAAAAAAATCACACTTAAAAAAAAAACCAACCCATCTGCATTTTTCTGCCTCCCTCTGAGGGATCCACACCCCCACACACGTCTGGGAGTTACAGCACTGGGAGGAAAACTGACCCTGGAGACTCCCAAGGTCACCAGCACCGTGGTCAGATGAGCCTGTGGGACTTTCCAGCTTTACATGCCCATGAAAGGCCTCTCTGTGACTACAGAGACAAATTTATGGCTGTTTAACAAAATAAAGACCAGGCATAGAAATTAACCCAAGAACAAGTGTTACCTGTGGCTGCTTTCTTGAAGCCCCTGACACAGGAGCAGCCCCTGGTCCCAGCATTGGCTCCAGTGTCCCATCACACTCATCCCACAGCTCAGGAAGAGAATGGGGGAAAAATTCCTCTGGGAGATGGCACTGCCCGTCCTGCCGTGGCTGTGTGAGCCCCAGTCCTGGTGCCAAGGTGGTGCCAAGGCAGGGGCCGAGGGCTGGGCAGGGGACAGTGGGACCCCCTGGCTCTTCTGAAGCTGCTGAGATGCATTTGTGTGAAATCCTCCAGGATCCCTCTGCCCTCACCACAGAAAATTCCTCAAGTGGCTGCAAAGCTGAGGAGGGAGCTGGGGGCTGAATCCAGGGGTCCCCTCTGTTCCCCAGCAGAGGAAGTTGGAGAACCCAGAGCTGGCAGAGGGGTCCACGGGGGCCACCTCTCACTCCTGCCTGGGGCTGGCAGCTGCAGCCACCAGGAAAGGCTGGGCAGCAGCAGGAGGGAAGGCACAGAGGTCCTGGAAAGGCACTGGGATCTGCCTCCAGCTGCATCCCTGAGCTGCTGAGTGAGGACTGAGCTTGCCTGGATCCACCCATCCCTGTCCAGACTCTGCAACCCCAAAACGGCATCTCCTGCTCAGTCACTCTGGGGACAGTGAATTCACCAACACAGGGGGGTCCCCTCTCCTCATGAGCCACCCCTGGAGGGTTCCAATCCCACTGCACGCAGAGGCATGGAAAAGAGAGAATGATGTTTAAAACCATGGAAGAGTTTGGAAGGGACCTTAAAGCCCATCCTGTTCCACCCCCTGCCATGGGCAGCTGATCTGAGCAACCTTTTCCTTGACAGGGAAACTGCTGCCCAGGGTTAACTATAAATACAAAGATAATTTTAATTAATTTATTTATTTCTTTACACATAACTGAAAGTGATGTTACAGTACATAAGTTATTTACAACTGTGCAGTAATGTGTTGCAAAATAAATTATCTAGAAGGCAGCAAAAGTACATTGTTAATGTATATAAAAACTGTACAGCATTTATGGGATACAATTTTTCTTTATATGAGTATTGGCTCTGTAGTGTTTTCAAGTTATGTTCTCAGAAAGAGAAACGAAATGCCCAAGATTAAAGGAAAAAATATATAAACCACGTGGATTTTACTCCATTAAAAACACAGTTGGCAAAGTCCTTTCTCTGCGTCGCCGTCTCCCCGGCCGTGCCGCGCCGCCCCGGCGGCTCCTCTGCCCGTCCCCAGCGGCTGCTGCGGGGCCACCGGCACATCCCGGAGCTGTCCCCGCTCCGGAGCCGCCGCTGCCCACCTTGGACACTGTCCTTTTGTTTCTAATTGGTTTGCTTTTTTTTTTTTTTTTTTGTTTTTTTTTTTTTTTTTTTTTTTTTTTTTTTTTTTTTTTTTTAGACATACCCATGATGGAACGAGAAACTCAAACACCCCCACCCCCCCTCCCCCCATGGTTTCCTACTGCAGCTTCTCCGAGAGGAGATCCGCGCCCGGTGGAAAACAGAGAGCTGGAAATCACGGTGTTCACAAGTACATGGTTCACGTGGTTGCTGGCCCCGCTCAGCAGCTTCTGCAACACACACACGGTGTCCTCGGCCTCGTCCCTCCGCGCCTCGGCCAGTCCCGGGGCCGCTGGGCGCCCGCTGCCCGCGCTGCCCGGAGCCTCCCCGCCGCGGGCGCCGGCGGGAGGAGCTGCGCCCGGCCCGCTGCCCCGCGGAGCCGCGCCAGTCCGGAAGCGAGGGACACGTCGTGAAGAAAGTGCAATTATTTCTCTTATCGTTTTGTTTTCTGCCGATAGCTGCTTCCTCCTCCTCTGACCAAGGGATTCATCAGCAAGCGGTTAAGGGTGAATGTGAGCTCGACCGCCCGACCTCGGAGCGCTCCCGTCCTTGCCAGTGTTCAGAGATGTCTCCTGGGTTGGAACTGTCATGCCGGCAAGAGCACAAAGTCATCGTTCACGTCGACCATTGGCACATAGAACGAGGGCACCTCGTTCACGCAGAGGGATTTGTGCCCCGCGGGGTCCAGCTCCTGCACCTTCAGCTGCCACTCCATCCTCTGCACCGCGTTCAGGGCAGCTGCTTCGTGCTGCTGTCGCATGAGCAGGCATGTCTGGATTGGGAAACAACAACGGGACGTGAGGGCTGAGTGGCAGGCAGAGGCAGGACCATGCAGCCACTGTGGGCACAGTGTTATATGCAGCAAGGGGTGCCACACACAGGATTTGGAATCTCTGCTCAGCCCAGCTCCAGAAGGAGCAGAGGCAAACCCAAAAGTTTGGGTTTGAAAGGCTTGTCAGCACTGCAGAGCATCCACTCCCATGCAACACCGCCCCGACAATCTCTGGACACCCACTCTGTGCTGGAAACCACTAAGGCATTCCCCTCCTGGAATGGCCCTGCCTGGAGCACGGGGCTCCCACAGCTCTCACCTTCATCCGGTCGTACTTGTCATCCACGTCCTGCAGCCAGGAGATGAACTGTCGCGCGTTGAAACGATCTCTGACCGATTTGTTTTCGTCTCCCTAAGGACAGGACACCACAGGGAGGGACATGGGATTAGTTTGGTACTTTAAGCATTACAGGTTTCACAGGCCATGTTCACAGGGGCACACACTCCTCAGAACTGCAGCGCCTGCAGGGAGGGAGGACAGACATCTCTGCTGCCAGCTGCTCCTGCAGCCCTTTCCAGGGGTTCAGCCTCAGGTGGGGATGCACCCATGGGCACGTACTCCCTGTTTCTCCTTGCTTTACAGGGAATCTGTTCATGTCAGCCCATCACAGCACCTGCACCTCTCTGACTCCTTCAACTGACGCCAGGATAGCAGCAGCACAGACATTTGGCTGGGAAATGCTGAGGGATAAATCAGAGCTCCTGGATCAATACGCAGCTCGTTAATAAATCCCGGGATGCTGTCCCTGCCCAGGATCCCTCCTGCAATGCAGCAGTGTAATGTTTCTCTTCCCTTCCTTCCACAGGGAGAAACACCTCAGAGCGTAGCAAAGGAGACCTTTCCAGTGTGCAGATGATCCTGACCAAGAAGGATGGAGGGTCCCAAGACTCACTGATAAAGCTGAGCCATCTCTGCTCCTAACAGACATGAACTCCCTGCATCCCATATTCGATTAGACAACTAGACAAATGATGTTCCAAGTCACAGAATAATTTGGATTGGAAGGGACCTTAAAGCCCATCTCATTCCACCCCCTGCCATGGGACACCTTCCACTATTCCAGGCTGCTCCAAAATGCATCCAACCAGATCTTGGACACTTCCATGGATAGAGCAGCCACAGCTGCTCTGGGCACCCTGTGCCAGGGCCTCCCCACCCTCACAGGGAACAATTCCTGCCCAATATCCCATCTAACCCTGCCCTCAGGGGGAGGTGACATGCTGCACCTGTGTGCCGTGGTGGGTGACCTGAGCAAGGAGAGCGTTAGTAACTCCTGCCTCCATGCTTCCCTCCATCCCTCCAGAAAAGCCCATCTCCCTCAGGGTCTTGCAGAGCCCCTGAGACACTTCCTCACCGCTGAGCCAGGCACTGACCTGATTTTCCAGAGGCATGTTGTACACCTCGGAGTCCAGCAGCATGGTGCAGGCACTGAAGGGCACGGCCTGGTTGGCAATGGTCCTCGCTGCCCGGCAGTGCACCCTCAGGATCTCCTGCTCGCAGGAGACGATGAGCTTCTCCTGAGGAAGAGCAGAGCAGTGAGTGTGGCAGCCTGAGCCTCGCCAGCAGGGGGAATTGGGGGTCTCCCCCCCAGCTGGAGTGTCCCCTTACCCGCTCTATGCTGTGCTGCAGCCGCAGCTTGCCCCGCACGGCCTCCTGCTGCTTGAAGAGCTCCTTGAGCGGCTCCGCGAGCGACGGCGGCGGCGCGATCTGCGGGCACAGGCAGGGGTGAGAGCAGGACCTCTGCGGGGCACAGCCCGAGGGCTGCACCCTGAAACGTGTGCTGGAGGGAGGGACATCCCATGGGGTGCCTGGGGAGAAGCTCTGCCAAGGACAAGGTCCTGCCAGTGCTCAGACTCAGTGAGGGTGAGGACTTGGCAAGAACAACCAGAGCTGACCCGCCCTCGTGCTGCAGGGCAGGGTGTGCAGCGAGGAATGGAGCCTGGTCACACTGACCTTCTCCTCCAGCCTGGAGCCCAGATTTACCACCTGTAGCACCACATTTATTCATGCATTTGTATTAGCCAGGCTGCTCCTGCAGCACAGCAGTGAAATGCTGATCCCAGTGCCAAGTCAAAGAGCAGAGCTTGGGAAAACGACGGCAGGAGTTAAGAGCCATCTTCTTCCCATGTTCCAGGTTCATCATCCTGTTACTACTGCTGCAAGAGCAGTTTTACCTCCCAGCCTCAAATCTAGTAGCTTGTTACAAACTTTGCTCTAAAGCCTGACCAAACCTCAGGTCCCTCAGCACAGCCCAAAGTCTTTGCAAAAATGCAGCAACTCAGGGGCTGCGTTTACCACACAGCCAGACACTTACCCAGGCTCAGGTTTGGTGTCATATTCTAAAGGCAGGTTGGGGCACATTGGCATTGCAAGGTGGTGACAGGGCATGGGGGACAACTTGCATGTGTGTGTAACAGCGAGTTCCTGAGGCTAAGGAGAGAGGTGACTCACCACTGGAATATGGAGCTTGCTTAGGGGTTTGCCATCCAACAGGTAGGAGCCTGTGTAGGTGACATACTCAGCGTAGCACTGCGGAGCTTGGGGAGTAATGTAGCACAGGATTTTCCGCTTCTCCTCAATCTTCTTCCTGATCTGGAGGTACTCGAAGTAGGGGTTGGACCTGTCGCTGTGGTAAGGTTCGATGTCGTCCAGTTTGATGGCATCGACGATAGCTGCCAGTGTCTGCTGGATCATCTCCCTCGTCTGCTGGGTGGACGTGTTGATCTGCTGCTGCAGCTGCTGGTTGGAGCGCTGGAAGCGGCGCTTCCGCGGGTGCTGAGCCTGGGAATCGTCCTCCTCCGTGATGCGGCCTTTGGCACGCGTGACGGGCGCAGAGACGGGAGGAAATTCCTTCTCGGATGCGGCGGCGTTCTGCTTGTTTTGGTTGGCGAGCATCTGAGCCCGGTTCCTGGTAATCCGCTGAGGAATCTCTTCTATTTTGGGTGGTTTGGGAGCTTCTGCTACTGGTTTTTGTACTGGTTCCACAATTTCTGCTTGAGCGTTGCTGGGAGGCGCGTCGGCCTGGGGTGGTGGGGCCTGGCTCCCACCACGGGCAGCAGCACCGTCCTGTGGAACGCCGGCCTCGGAGCTGGCCACGGGCACAGGACAGGGCTGGGAGCTGCCCTCTGCCACCCCCCCAGCTGACAGCTCCTCGTGCACGGCCTCCACCTCTTTGCTCTCCGCCTGCGCGGGCTCGGACGGGGGCTGCTGGAACACCTGCGCTTCCGAGTCCTCCGCTGCCTTCTCCTCAGCTGCGTTCAGCGCTTCCGAGGCGGCTTCTTGTGCGGCCGCTTCTGGTTTCTGCTCCTCTGCTGGTGGCTCTGTGTCCGTGGGCAGGGTGGGCGCTGCCTGGCTGGCCGGCGGCTCCTCCGGCTCACCGGACGCTATCACGGAGGCGCCGGCTTTGATGATCCCAGCGCTCGCTTCTGGAGCTGCTGCTGGGCTTTCCTCTGCCGCTTCCGCCTCGGTCATCTCCGTCTCTGCCACGTCCTTAGGCTGCAGTGGCAGCTCTGGGAGCGAGAAGGGGCCAAGGTCCAGTTCATCCTCGGTGTTGGTGAAGGGGTCTGGCCACGTCACCGCCTCCTCTGCATTTGCAGGTGCTGCGTTGTTGTTTTCCAAATAGCTGTTTTCTGGTGCAGCAACGACTTCGGCCTGAGGTTCTGCTGGCACGCACGGGGGCTCTGGAGGGATCTCTGGTGCTTCTTCTGGAAGAGGCTTGCAGTTGTTGAAGAAGGTGTCTAACCTAGTAGGGGACATGTATGGAGCTTGCTCTTCAGCATTTGCAATTTCTCCTGGGACTGCTTCCTCAGCATCTTCCTTGACTTCCTCCAGCCTCGGTTCAGACACTGACAGAGGGTACGAGATGGGAGAAACAGGGTAGGAAGTCTCTGTGGGAATGAAGGCTACCGGCGCAGGATGAATTGGCTCTAGGGAACAGAGTGGAGGTTTAGGGGACTCGGAAAACCTCTGGGGTGATTTCATCAGAAGCTCTGAGCCCATGGACCAGGTGACAGAGTGCTCTGCGGGGTTGCCCATAAGGCTGGGAGGAATGGCGGCGTCTGGGTTTCGGGAAGGAGGGTTATCCCAGTCTATGTTGTTTTGTTCGGGCATTCCCGAACTAAAATGGTTTTCCTCGATGGGTGGCAGGTAGGTGGATTCTGGTGGCATGATGGAGGCAGTGGCTTGCTGCTCCTCTGTGGTATCCAAGGGCATGCCAATGTCAGGGGGAAGAGCACTTTCCACTGAAGGAGCCAGCAACTCATCCCTGTGCGAAGGGGAGGATTTTGCTTGTAAACCAGAAAAGACACTTTCAGGAGACTGGGCGACCCCGCTGACGGCTCCCGGTGCGCAGTGCAAAGCTTCCACTTTGGGTGAGGAAACTCCATAATCTGGGGAGTAATACCCAGGAGACAAACACTGGAACTTCTCAGCAGGAACAGAGGGAAGGGGAACTTTCTCCTCCATTAAATGCTGCACAGGAGAGTCATAATTTGATGTTGCCGGGACACTTTGCTGCCTGAAAAACTTATCTCCAACGCTGAATTCCTCTTCGGGCGCCCTCCTGATATCCACTGAGATGGAACGGTAGAGGTTTGAGGAGGGTATGGTGCGAGTCGGGGTCTGACTGGGGTTCTCGGGGAGCCCGCTGGAAACATTGCTGTATCTGTCGAAGAAGGAAGGAGAGCAGGCGTTCATGGACATGGTGGAGATGGGCAGCGAGTGCTGAGAGTCCGCACACTCGAACATCAGGTCCGTGTAGTCCTCGTTGCTGCACGACGGAGTCCTGGGAGTCTGCATCACCTCCTCGTAGCTCGGGCAGGACACGACGGACGCCGGGGTCGGGACGCCCGTGGGCCGGTTCTGATCTGGCCTGGGAGATGCTGGGAGGATCTCCTTCAGCTGAGGACCCGTGATCCAGTCCTTGGAGTCTGTCCCCACAGCAGGCTGTGCCTTGTTTTCCGGTGACAGAATAGGAGTCAGGGGACCCAACTCTTTGAGTTTCTTGTCCTTGAGCTGCGTGTCCAGTGTTAGTGGCTTCTTGGCTGGCAGATCCAGGCTCCTCTTGCGCACATCCTCTGAGCTTTTAAGTTTGTCCTTTAACTTGGGGTCTCCGGACCTGTGCCGCATTTTCTCCATTTGCTTCATTCTCTCCTTGTGCCTTTTGTGGCGTTCCTCGATCTCCAGGTCTTTCTGGCTCAGCATCCTCTCAAAGCTGGTCATCATCAAGTCACCGTCTCCCAGAAGTTTCTCCCTTGGCCTGGCATCCTTCTTGCCGCTGTCTTTGGAAAGGGTTATTTTTTCATTCCCATTGCTTATTTTTATGGACTCTGATTTGTCTTTGTCTTGATTCTCCTTAAGCTTCTCCTTCAGTTTGGTTTCACCGAATTTGAGGTTGTCCTCCTTGGATTTATCTTTAAAGGTGGTAACTTGAGGCCCGTCCTTATCTTTGAGTGTTGACTTTGGCTCATCTTTGTGATGTTTAAAGAAGCCATCTGTGTGTTTGTCCCTATGCTTTTCCTTTTCCTCCTTCCATTTTTCCTTGTGTTTATCCCGTTTCTTTTTCTCTTTAGCTGTGCTGATGGTGCTGGAACCGTAAGTCTTTTCTTTCTCCGCCTTCTTTGACAGCTCTCTTTCAGAATCATTTTTATCCTTCTTTTCAGAAAATAAGTAATCAATGCTCTTCTCCGGTTCCTCATCAGCGTCTGCCTTCATGTTGTAGGAAGAGCCAAAAGCCTCCCCATCCACAGAGAAATCCTTTTCATAGTGAGTGGAATCCTTTCTGCTGCTGGAGTCCTTGAATTCTTCTGATTTTTCCTTTTTCTCTGTCTTTTCTTTCTTTGCTTTTTCCTTCTCGTGACTTTTCTTTGAGGAAGATGAGGAATGTCGGTGCCTCTCCTTCTCCTTGAGCTTGTCCTGAAGGCAGGGTAAAGGGAGAGAGTCCTTGAACTTTTCTTCAGCGGCATCGGTCAGAGAGAGGTTAGAAGACTCAAAGAGGCTGGTGAGTCCTGGCTCCTGCCCTCTGTCCGTGAAGCTGTCAGAGGAGATCTCGCTGATTTTGTCATTGGAGTCATCCCTGTAGTCATTCAGAGCCTCCTCCTCCAGTTTCTCCAGCAGGCTCTTCTCCGACTCCCCTCCTTTTGAAGACTTCTTCTCTTTGGAATGCTCCTTGTCTGGCTTCTCCTTATGTTTGCTTTTCACCTTGTCGTCACTGGTGTGTTTCTTCTCAACCTTTTCTGGGAGCTTTTGCTTGTTTTTCTTCTCCTGAGTGGAATCTATGGACATTCTTTCCTTCCTGTCCTTATACTTCTCACTGGAGTCTTTATCTTTCTTCTCTTTGTGCTTCTCAAAGGAACTCTTCTCCTTCTTCTCCTTCCCCCCTTCCGATGTTCCTTTGTCCTTTTTCTTCTCCTTGGACTCCTTATCCTTCTGCTTCTCCGAGTGCTGCCGGTCGGACGAGTACTTGCGGTGCTTGTCGGGGTACAGCTCCTTCTCGGCGGCCGCGCCGTCGTCCTTGTCCTGCAGGCTGTCCAGGCGATGCATCTCGCTGCCGGCCGAGTCGCCCACCTTGAACCCGCTCAGGCTGTAGTCGTCCCTCTCGTCCTCGCTCTCATCCGTGAAGATGTCAGCGATGCTGTACCAGCTCTTCTCCTTGCCTTTCTTCTCATCCTTCTTCTCGGAGAAATCGTCTCTGTCTGCGGAAAAGTTTTTCTCTTTCTTCTCCTTCACCTGGTCGAAGGAACTCTTCCTCTCCTTGTCTTTGCCGTGAAGATCCTTGTATTTCTCCTTAGTTTCTTTTTTCTCTTTGAAACTCTTCTCCAGTTCTTTGTCCTTCAGGATTTTCTCTGGAGCAGCTTTTTCATTTTTCTCCTTGTCGCCTTCTTTGGATTTTTCCTTGTATTTTTCTGGCTTCACCTTTTCTTTTTTTTCTTTATCAGGAGCATCTTTCTTCTCCTTTTCCTTCCCAGAATGGTGCCTCTCCCAACTCTCCAGGGTTTTGCCACTGAACTCAGGGTCAGACTTATCCTTGAAGAATGTTTCACAGCCATACTCCTTGAAGTCATCTCGATAGGGCTCCTCCTGCTTCGTCTTGGGATCTTTTCGCTCTTTAGAGCCATCAGAGGAATCTTTTCTGTCTTTGTTGGTTTCACCTGTGTCTTTTTCTTTCCTTTCCTTGCCGGTCTCCACAGAATCCTTCCTTTTCTTATCCTTTTCAGGCAAATAACTGGGAGTAACTTTGTGCCTGTCTGTTTGGTCCTTTTTCTTCTCAGAGCTTTTCTCCACATAATCCCGCTCCTTTTTCTTTAAGAAAGTGTCCTTTTCATTCCGCTTCTCGTTGTATTCCTTCTTGTCTTTCATTTTATTTTCCTTTTTCTTGTCTTTAATTTCCTCTTTCACAGGTTCTATGATTAGCTTTGCCACGGTGTCATTTTTAATCTCCCTGAAATCCGTTATTGGAGAATCCCAGCTGTCCTCACCCTTGAAATCGAAGGATGAATCAGAGGACAAATCTGAAAACCACCTCTCCTGCTGATCGTCCGAAAGGCTGAACTTTGTGTCCTCGCTTTCGGCAAACTGAGTTTTGTTATTAAACTCATCAAACCCGGACTCGTCCCTGTAAAGTTTTTCTTTTTTGCATTTTTCCTTCTCTTCTTTGAAGGATTTTTCTTTCTCTAGTTTAGAAACCTTCTCCTCCTTCAGCTCATTCTTCTTCTCAGATTTGGACTGCTTGTCCTTTGACTTCTTCTTTCTCTCCTCTTTGTGTATTCTCGGCTTCTCCTCCTTGGGAGATTTCTCCTTGACAGGTTTCTCTTTTTCTGATTTACTCAATCCTTCTCTGAAGGATTTGCTCAGGTCTTTACTACCATCTTTGATTTTTCTTAATGATTTCTCCTCTTTTGAGGATTTTCCAGTCTCATCTTTGAACAACCACTCCTTCTCCTCCGCTTTACCTTTGGGGAGCTTTTCCTCCTTCTTACCATGTTCCCTATCGTGCTTTAACACTTTCAACTTGTTTTCAACTGGATTTTCTGTCTCTACTATCAAGCCTTTCTCAGGCTTTTGTTTAGAGTCCTCAAACTCAAAAGAAAATGTTTTGATTATTTTAATGTCTTGGCTGATGGGACACTGTCCCTTCTCCTTGTTTTTATGTTTGTGTTTTGTTTTATGCTTTTTAACAACCTTCCCCTCCTTGTCCAGCTTTGGAATTGCTCCATCCACATTGCTATGGAATGAATTCTTTTTCTCAGAAACAGTGTTGTGGGGGGTGTTTTTCTTTTTGTGCTCTGGTTTCTTTCTGACTGGCTTTAGTGACTCTAAGCTCGAGTCCTCGGACGAGTAGTCTGACTCGCTCGTCAGCCTCGTCCTGGTGGAGTCCGATAGGGAACTGACGTCTGACCAAGCTGGAGAAGATATGGTTTTCCAATTGTCCGTCCTCCAGTGCTTGGAGTGCTGTTCTGTAAGACTGGGATTATGTTTCTGGGATGCTAAACTCCCATGTGAAGAGGTCGATGAGGCAGACAGAGAGTTAAACAAGGAGGATTCCTTTAGCACTAGCCTTGAGTCCTTTACACAGCTAGAGCTCTGTAGAGAGTCTCTATCATCCTCCTCACTCTCCACGTTTTCACTCTCTGATTAAGTGGTGGAATCACCATCCCTGAAAGTATTCAAAAAACATTTAGGGACAGGGTTTAGTGGTGCACTGGCAGCAGCAGGTTAATGGTTGGGCTCAGTGACTGGGGAGGTCTTTTCCAAACTTAATGATCCTGTGATTCTCAGAACCAACCTGGGCAGGAAAGAAGGGGGAAGAACAAGGCACAAAATCATGCTCCTGTCCCAATTCCAGAAGAATGAACTATCCCCCTGTGCAGGAGGATAAACACTCAACAGCTCTGAAACAGGGAAATTCATACAATCAGGGAATCATTTAGATTGGAAGGGACCTTCAAGCCCATCCCATGCCACCCCCTGCCATGGGCAGGGACACCTTCCACTGCTCCAAGCCCCGTCCAGCCTGGCCTTGGATACAAACTCTGCCCGCTCCACAGGAAATGAGACAAAACCACCCAGAATCTGTGTTTTCACAGCGGGCTGCTCGAAGCACAAGTTCCCAGGAGAGTCATTTAAAGCAGGGCAGGGAATGGCAGCACCCTGACCTTGAAGTGGCCGTTGTTGGCCGCGTCGTGCAGGGGGGTGTCATCGTCCAGCCCCTTGGTGTTGACCTCGGCGCCCGCCGCCAGCAGCTGCTTGGCCACGTCGTAGTAGCCCCTGTTGCAGGCCTCGTGCAGCGCCGTCCAGCCTGCAAGGACAGGGACACTCAGGACATGGCACCACCCTCACAGTGACACTGAGACACGGGGAGAGCCTGCAGGGTCACCCTGCTCAGGGCTGTGCCACTCTGATGTGTCTGCCCGGATCTCCCGGCACAGCAGGAAGGAACGCGCAGCTCTGCCCTGCTACTCCTGCCAGGCAGTCACAGCACCAGTCCCCCTTCTCCCTCTGGTCATAGCATGTGCTACAGTCAGAGCATCTGCCAGACCTGACACAGCCCCTGGAAATGGGAGGTTTTATATGGGAAATAAGGAGAATTGCTGATGTCATGTGAAAGGCAGGTCTTAAATCCATTCCCCTTTATACCATCGTGAAATTATTTGGGTGGGGAGGGACCTCAAAGCTCATCCATTCCCCTCTCCTGCCATGGGGAAGGACTCCTTCCACTATCCCAGGTTGCTCCAAGTCCCCTCAATCTGGCCTTCAACACTTCCAGCAATGGGGCAGCCACAGCTTTTCTGAGCAACTTATGCTGGGGCCTCACCACCCTCACAGGGAAGAATTTCTTCCTAATATCCCATCTAACCCTGCCCCATGTCCGCTTAAGGCCACTCCCTCTTGTTCTGCCACTCCATGGTCCTGTGAAATGTCCCTCTCCAGCCTTCTCTGAAGCTTTTTAGGTTTGGCTTTAGGTTCCAAACCCTCTGTAAGGGAATCCCTGGTGCCCAGCCTGGGCCTGAGCTCAGAACTGCAGACGGGGCTCGAGCCAGCCCCCATACAGATTTTCTGTGTGCTCTCCAAACACAGGAACACCGGCTTGGACTGGGGGGGGAAAAACCAAACAGCAGCGTCTCCACAGCAATGGCAGCTCCAGCTCTCAAACAAATCTCTGAAGAGCACAGAACAAAATATTTTATCGTGTTCCAACAGACTATTTTTAAGCAGAGCCTGTTTTGAAGTTCCGCAGCGCGGCTGCTCGGGTGTTTTGCTGATAGCGCCGTGGGAGCGCGCTCCGTTACCTTCCCTCGGAGCCTTTGGAGGGGGCACCTGTGCCCGGAATTAATCACAACTGATACTTCAGTCTGGCACTGGGATTAATCACACGGGTGGAGGAACAGCCATATCTATTTATAGCCCCAAAATCATGCGAAGAGAACAGCAAAGAGCAAAGTCAAGCTCTTGGACGTGCTGGAGAAAGGCTGATCCAGCCCCACTGAATGGCACCTTCATCACCCCTTCACCAGCATCCCATGGCTGCCTTCTGCTGCAGGACTCAGGGCTGCTCCCATCTCATCCCACCGCCCTAAGCAGGAGCCTGGCAGCACTGCTGAGGAGGAGAAGGAGGAGGAGGAGGTGGTAATACTCCTGAGCTGAGGGTCAGGATGGTTAACAAATCCTCCAACTTGTGTGTCTGGTGGGAGCCTAACCTTGCCCTTCACATTCCCTCCCCATCAGCAGCACCCCCAGATTCAACTCCCAAACAACTCCCAAAAATTCACAGGCATCAGCCCCCCAACTCCAGAAGAGCTGACTTCCCAAACCCACTCTCAGCAGTATTTCTGTGCATGTAATTCCTTCTATTTTAAGTAAAAATAGAGCTAATCCAGCCCACCTCCCTTTGCAAATCACCCTCCAGACTTCCAACACAGCGGCCCCACGGAAGAGCAGAAGGAAAGGGAGTGGCCTGCTCAGGTTTGGTGTGTGGAGCCACAACAGCTCCAGGGATTCTCTGGATCCTGCCCAGCCCAGCTTCACCACCTCAAGCAGACTGCACAGCCTGGGAATTCTGCTCCCAAACTCCAACAAGAAAACTGATGATTTTGGGGATTTTTATATGTTTTTTTTTTGTTGCTGTTTGTTTTGTTTTTTAAGGGGCAAAAAGACTTTTTCCTCTTCAAAGAGCAAAATCACAATTTTTTGCAAATCCCCTCTTTCCAAGGTGAGACCCCATGCTAGAAACAAACTACTTTTTCTGGTGGGAGTCGTTCTCGGAGGTGCAACACACAACCAGGTGGGAAGAAAGCTGGGATTCCTGGCTGTTACCTGCAAAGTCCTTCACATTGACATCTGCACCCTCGATGATGAGCTCCTTGATGCGCCGGGCGTCCCCGCGGATGGCAGCGCGATGCAGCCGAGTCTCTCCTCGCTCGTTTCTCTTATTTACTTTATCTTTGGTTTTGGAGGCAGAGTTGGGAGTTCCCTTCTGACAAACTGTAGACTGAGAGGGATGCTTTGGTGTTGTGTCAACTGCAGGGAGAAGAGAAACAGCGTCAGGGACTGCCATTCCATGGAATTCCTAAGCCCTTAGAGGGAGCTCGTGCATCACGTTTCGTCTCGGCTCTTCCCAAAATATTCACCACAAGGCAGCAAGAGGCAGCCCAAGCTCTGGAGTGGATGTGAACAGAGCAGCCTGTGTGTCCCACGGAGATGGGAACTGCGGGCTGCCAGACCCACTGGAGAGCTGCAGTCCTGGCAAACGCTGTGGGCAATCCCGTGATCCGGGAGCAGACAATGCAGCTCCTCACCCTCAAACCTCAGCTCCCGAGGGAAGTGGCCTTTTACCAAGCACATGTGAGGCCTCACGGCCTTGGGAGGAGACTGCATTTCCTGGGAGAACACTGGAATGCTCTGCAGCTTTTTCCCTTTTAGCTTTCCCAAGTAACAGCAACATAAGCAGTGAGATTGGTGCTTTTTTGGCTAAAAGCTGCAGTGTTGTGTGTAGGATGTGGATGTGAGCACATGGATAGCACGGACCCTCCAAAACCGGGGGGGAACTTGTTTGCAACAGATAAAAATTACTAGAACACAAAATCCGTGGTAAACACATTCCAGCTACTCCACACCTCAACTTACAGCTGTGGTGGTTACACATCTTATCCCTTTCCAAGAGAAGAAGTATTAAAAACCTACAGAGGATGATATTTTGTCTTCATTCACAATCCTCCTTTACTGAGATAGCCTGAGAGGCCGGTGGGAAAACAGAGCTGAGGTGGAGGAGGCTCCCATGGAACCAAAGCTCCAGCTGAGCAGCCAGGGTGGGCTGGATTGGACCCGAGGGGCACTGGAAAAAGGAAGGGCAGCCAGAGCCACGTGCAGATCCCAGTGACACCAGACCTGGAGTCACCTGCAGAGCCCCGTGGGAGGAGTGAGACCCCACAAGCAGCAAACCAGCCCCCCTGCCCCACGCCAGGGGTGGCAGCTCAGTCCTGGTGACCCCGGGAACCGGGAATTCCAGACATTTGGGAGCAGCTCCCACCTGCCTGCCCACCCTTCAGAACCAAGCCCCCCAGTCTCACCTGGGCTGTTTGCAGACTCTTCTGCTGTCATCTGCATGAGGAGAGCGACTTGCTGGCGCTCGGAGAGCGGGTACCCTGCCCGGATCCCCGAGAGGCCCATGCCGAAGAGCAGGCCAGGCTTCCTGGTGGCGGGCTCCTTTTTAATCCTCTTCCGCTCGGGACCCTGCTTCTCTGTGGGACAAGGACACAGGGACACAAGCCATGAATGTCACGGAGCCCAAAGCCCTGCAACTGTCTGAGCATGGGACTGACAGATCCCAAAAGCTTGTGCTGAGGCAGCCTGTGGATGATCCCTGATGGATCCCTGCAGTGGGAGCACTGGCACCTGGAGCAGCCACCCAGGTTCCCAGCAGTGAAGGTGCAGCCAGGACATGCCCCAGCAGCCTCCTGCTGCTCCAGCAGCCTCCCATTCTCCTCCACCACCAAAGAGCAGCAGAGGAAAGAGGGAACAGACCCTTCGAGGGGCCACAGCCAGTGCTGCACCTCCCATCCTGCTTTAGGAGCCTCCATCCCATGCCAGGGCACCTGGAGGAGCCTACTCAGACTGACAGCACCACAGCATGGACCCAGCTGGAGGCACTGAACAGCATCAACAAGGAGAGCTGAAAGATACAGGCTGGCAGCTCAGAAATGTGGCCATCACACTTCTGCCATCATCATCATCATCATCATCATCATCATCATCATCATCATCATAGCTAGGAGGCTGCAGCCAAACAGGTGTGGGCAGCACCAGGCTGCTCCTCTCCTCACAAAGTGGCTGCTCCCACCTGGCCCAGAGCACCCACCTGCCCTCAGGTCTTCTGCAACCATCTAAAAAATTCCCAAAGGAACACGAGGGGAGGGGAGGAAGAAACCCCAGAAATGCCTGGCTTGTCATCCCAAATCCAGCCTGATAGTTGGTCTCCTAAATCATCCAGCTGCAAAGGCAGCTCCTAGTGAGAGACCAAGAGCAACCACCCCCAAACCACAGGCACACATCCATGGAATGGCTGTGTGGGAAGGAACCCTGAACCTCATCCAGTCCCACCTCCACGGCAGGGACACCTTCCACTAGCTCAAGGTGCTCCAAGCCCTGTCCAACCTGGCCTTGGACACTTCCAGGAATGAGGCAGCCACAGCTTCTCTGGGCAACCTGAAGGTGCCTCAGTACCTTCACCTTAATAAAACCCAGCGATGCTGCAGCCTCTCCCCCAGCTCTGCTCGGGTTTCTTCCTTCACCCACCAAACAGCACAGGTTTCTTCCTTCACCCACCAAGCGCAGCCGAGGAAAGGTCTCTGGCAGAGGAGGGCAGCAGTGGCTGGGGATGCTCCGCTCCTGCCGCTCGCAGCTCCGCGGCTGAGGCACAGCCAGCTCCACAAACCCTTCCTGGGCACAGTGCACAGAGCTGTCAGCCTCTGCTGCTCAGGGCCCACCTGGAGCAATGGTTTCCATCCACCCCTGCTCCTGGGATACTGTACATTTTAGAAATAATGACTCTTCCAGGGAACCTCTCAACCAGAGAGCTCAGCCACTCCTCTTCAAAGCTCTCTGCTCATTGCCCAGAGAAGCTGTGTCTGCCCCTGGATCCCTGGAGGTGTCCAAGGCCAGGTTGGACAGGGCTTGCAGCCTGCAGAAGGTGTCCCTGCCCATGACAGGGGTGGGATGAGATCAGTCTTAAGGTCCTTCCCAACTCAAACCATTCCATAATTCTATGAAATGCAAGCCCTGGAAACATGTCTGCATTGAAGGCGAATCCCAGTCTACTCTGAAACCACATTTTGGTCATCCTGGCAGCTGTAACAGCTGGAAGATGAAATCAGATCCTAGGACAGTTTTTTAATGGCTTAAAATAAAATTAAATCTAGTGTGCTTACGGGAAGACAACTTTGCTGGGGTGGCTCCAGGAGCCACGCTGCTGCCCTGTGTGTCCTGCCAGGGGACACAGGGACACCTGATCCATGTGTGCAGCACCTCCCTGCTCCCTGAGACTCTCCAAGCTGCTTAAACCCTGCACAGGCAGGCTTGGCTTCCCCCATCCTTGGTCACATCCAGCCCCAAAGCCAGGCATGAAGACGCTTGAGGGGTCACATCTTGGCTGGTGCCACCAAGCAGAGTCCCTGAAGCACGTGATGCCCAGGGCTGCTCCGCACGTACGGAGCCACAATTAGAATGGGAACATTTTCATTAATATCCCTTGGCTGCTGCAGGTTGTCAGCACGAGCCTGGGATTTGCAAAAATTGATTATCAAGTTCAACCGAAACCCCCCTAAACTCCTATTCATTCTGCAGTTGCAGAAATTTCCTCCTCCACAGAACATTTAACATTACAAAGCATGTGATCAACAAGATAAAAATAAATTGGAAAGCGGCTGCCGCGTTCTCGCTCGCTATGGGGAGGCAGCCGAGGACTCGGGCTTGTGCTTCCTGCTGGGAAGGGCTCAAGGCCAGCTGGATGGGACCTGGAGAACCTGGTGTGACACCCTACCCTAAAGGCCCAGTGGAAGATGTACCTGCCCGTGGCAGGGCGTGGAGATGAGCTTTAAGCTCCCTTGCAACCCGAACCATTCCACGATTCTGTGATTCTATGGCTCCAGTGCTGGCACCCCAGTGTGGGCAGCGTGGCAGCCCCTGGCTCCCTGCGTGGCACAATCCTCAGGCAATGTGGAGGGACCACATAAGCAAGATCCTTAGTTGGGTCAGAGATGTAAGCAGGGGATGGAGACAGAGCTGCTCCCATCATCTGCTTTCCATCCTGAGCCCCAGCAGGGTGAGAGCCCTGCCTGGCACTGGGCTGGCTCTCCCAGCCCTGGCTGGTCCCAGGCTCACAGAGCTACACGTGTGTTATTTCAGCCCAGAGGATTTTACTCAGAATCAGGTTTGCAGCAGATTTAAAGGTGTCCCTGCACAGAGATCTCAGCTCGCTGGCTCCTGCAGCCTGCTCCTGTGCCTCCAAATAACTGCGCCTCTGGAACACCTCGCAGCAGCACAGAGCGACTGGAGAGAAACTCTCCCAGTGTCACCCACCTCGGCTGACAGAAAAAAAAAGCTTATTTGACACTAAAACCCCTTCCAGCAAGCACCAAGCCCAGCAACACGGGGGGGTGCAGGCAGGCAGCCCTCAGTGCCGGCAGCGGCGGTGCCTGGACCGTGCACACAGATCCCAGCGGGAGGAAGACCATGGCAGCCCACGGATGCTCCATGAGCCCGGGATGAGCCACACCTCCATGCAGCTATTTTTAAAGCAGCTTGTTTGCTGCTTGCTTCAGCCCTTCTGCAAACCTCCCGAGCATCAGCCCTGGTTTAATTCGGGGATCCTGCTCGGCTCTTCCCTCGCGCTGACGCCAGCAGGAACCGCGTGCGCAAGCTTAAAGGGGAAAGCAGGAGCAGAGCCGGGAACTGCTCCTGCCTTTCACCACACCGAGCCCGAGAGGCTGCGAAGGCTGAGCAGGAGCAGACTCCCAGGACAAAGGGGTTTGAGCATCAGCTTGAGGGTGGTTCTCGTGCCCACACGAGACTCCGGGCAGTGCTGCAATGGGGAGGACAAATCCAGGGCTGCTGGAAGCGCCTCGGCAGCTCCGTAGAGATCCCAGGGCAGATTGAGAGGGATTCAGTGCTGCTGGGCTGGCTCTGTGTGCAGACACAGGCTGAATCCCAGCTGAAACAGAGAGGGACAGGAGGAGAGCAGGGCGGTGACGGAAAACCTCTCAGAGGTTTCTCCAAGGCACGGTGCGACGCTGGCAGGTCGTGGGGACGCCGCAGCCGCGCGGCTCCTCGCTCCCCACGCACGCAGCACGCCCTGTAATGCAGAAAGCATCTGCTCCCGCTGCTCGGCATGACAACACACGCACGGGAGGTGGAACCCTGAGGAAAAATACCAGCTCCACACCAGCAGCTCGTGCCGAGCGCCGCACGGCCACGGCGCTGGCCCCACCGGCCAGAGGGGCTTTGCAGGCGCTGCCGAGCCCAGCGAGCACCACCAGAGATCAATAGGAATAAATTAGAGCGGCACAGACAGCAACAGAGACTGCACTGCACCCCCGGGAGAGCAGTCTGCTCCCCCCAGCCCGGCCCAGCCTGCGTAAGAGTGACTCATTGCTGCTGCAGAACTTGGAGGGCATTGAACGTTTTGGAGCATGTCGGCTCAAAGCAGGGCAGAGCAGGTCCAGCCCTGGGGATGCACTCCCAGGGCACCTGCAATGTGGGCCCGTGGCTCAGGAGTGAAAGGCTGACAGCAGCACGGCCCCACCACACGCCAAGGCTCTGGGGTGCTCCAGCACTGAAGGACAAGCAGGCGGAGAGAAGGCTGGAGGTGGCAGAAGCAGCATGGAATGGGAAGCAGCACCATGGCACAGGTGGACAAACCAGAGAGGCAAGCAGGACAGGCCAGAGCACGTGGTGGTGAAGAGCTCAGTGAGGAGGGTGAGCAGGAGACCCCTGGAATGCAGAGGAACACGGCTTGGGCTGGGGGGACACCCTGGCACCAGGAGATGACGGGCACGCTGCACACAACAGAACAGGGGCACAGCCAGGAGCTGATCTGGTTTATCAACCTAGTGCCAAAAAGGAAAACAAGAGGAAAAGCAAGGTCTGCCTTGACAGAAGGTGCCCTGAGCAGCTCCCATAGAGTGGGGAGCTTGTTCCCACCTGAAGGATGGAGGACCAGAGCCAGAGCCTCGTCTCACACTGCTGGAAAGGGTGGTGGAGACCTTGGCTGTGAGTCAGGAGTGGAGAAAAGGTGCCAGCAGGAGGAACAAGCCCCTTTATAACCATGTCAGTGTGCAGCTGAGCCCACCATCCCCAGTGCTCAGCTGGGCTCCCTGGGGAAGAGGATGTGCAGGGCCCAACCCCACTGCCTGCAGTATTTTAAAATATAATTTGACTAGAGGGGTTTAATGCTGTGTGACAGCCTGTGGTCCAAATCCAGGTGCTCTCCCTACCAGACCCCACAGCTGTGCCCTGATGTGTAAAAGCAGCTCCTTCACAGAGTAGCCACTGGCTCCCAACATGCTGTGAGAGGAACCCAGAGGCTTCATCACAAACAACAATCTCCATGTTAAAAGTGAGTTATTCAGAGCAAGATCAATTTTCAAGTCCAGACCGTTCATTTCCCACGAAATAGAAAGAGCTGGAGGAGGGAGGATGGGGGAGGAAGGCTCTGGCCAGCCCTCCCCTCCTGGAGCTGGGGCCAGGACACTCTGCAGACAGCGCTGATAAAAGCTCTTGTATTAAGGAAAAAGCCATCATTGATAGATTTTTGGTTCACAGAGACACAGCACACTGCAACCTCTCCCTCTGCATGTTAAGGAGGTGATGAGGGGGGAGGAGGGAGATTTATGGCAGCTCCCATCATAAAACGACCTGGTTTTCTGCGCAGCCCTTCCCAGATGGCTGCTGCACACGGGGAGTTTCTCAGGGTGATCTGAAGGCTGGTGTGTGCCAGGCTCTCCACACTGTACCGGCATTATGGAGCCCAGCTAGGAAGGGAGAAGCTCTGACATTCACTCTCTCCCTGGTTGCTAGGTGAGAACAGTTTCTTACTATTTTAGTAAAAGGACTGAAATGACACAAGCAAAGAAAGCCCCGCAGCAGCGCAGCCCCTGCGAGCCCCCAGCTGCACACACCGGAGCGCAGCCAGGCCCAGGGAACGGCACAGACACCACTGTGGGATGCAGATGCCCTTTTTAATAAGCCAGCAATTTGCTTCTCACGGATTCCCTCGCCAGCCTTGCCGAGCTGGGACTAACGAGCCCGTTCCCATGCCGTGTCACTCCAAAGACTCCAGCATTAGGCAAGCAGCAGCCGGCTCCGGGAGAGGATGGTTTGGGTCAGCTGATTCATCAAGCATTTTCTAACCTACTAATTAGCGTCACGTAACAACCTCGGGGGATTAGAGAGAAGGAGTTTGAAGCTCCAAGGCCAGCTCCTGCCAACCACATTCACACTGGCCCTTGTCCACCACAGCACCTCCCTGGCCGGCCACGAGCCCCCACACCAGGAGAGCCCTCGGAGCCCAGAAAGGTTGATATGCACAGACCAGCTGGGAGAGCTGGTGGGGTTTCTCCCTCCCTTATTCCTCCAAGAGCACTCAGGGGAGGAGATGGACACACAGGGAGAGAACTGGACAAAGAGGGAGGGACTGGAACACACAGGGAGGGAGTTGGGCACCCAGGGAGGCAGTGGGACCCCAAGGAGAGCAGGTCCCCCAGCTGGGGACCACCAGCTTTGACCCAGCCTCGCTCAGGCCTTCCCAGCTCCCAGGGAGAGCTGTCAGAGGCCAAAATTATCTCAGCATGCTCCGAGATTTGTATTGAGCCCCAACTCTCCCTGATGATGACTAAAGGCCTGGAATCCACAGCTGTACCTCAAGCCAAGGGACTCAAGTGACAGCGTGACACCCAGCTAAGGAAACCATCCGCAGCAGGAGCAGCGGGCACACGGAATTCTGCGCCCCGTGCACCTCCCAGCTGCTCTCCAGCAGCATTCCCCGTCCCACTGTGCAGCCAGGGACCTGTTGGTGCGCATCCACGCCGGCACAGCCCGAGGCAGGTGGGGAGTGCCCGGCCCCACGCCGGCAGTCTGGTGCCGTTGAGTCAGCCGTGACTCAGCCGTGGCTCAGCGCCGCAGCCGCGGCACCGCTGCGCCAGCCGCCCGTGCCCACCTCTCCTGCCAGGTGCCTTCCCAGCAGGACTGTTCCCTGCTCCCTGCTGCTGGCTCTCTGCGTGTTTGTTAATGCCACAATTACCCAGTGCTGCTGGGTTGAAGCCCCCTCCCGGCGCGGCACACAGCCGGGGAGCTGCAGGCAGCCTCGCGCGCTGCTGGAGCTGCTGGGAGGAAAGCTGGGAGGAAAGCTGGCCGTGCTCGTTTGGCGGCTGCCAGGCAGCACGTAGGCTCTGGGCAGCGCCTGTGGATGTGGGGAGATGCCACACGAGGGAAGGAGAAGGAAGGAGGAGAGGTCTGGGGCACGGAGATGCTGCTCCCGCAGTGCCGGAGCTGTAACATGCACAGTCTGGAGGCTCACGGCTCCATGCCATTTTTTTTTTTCCTAAAGACAGTTTATTTAGTTAACTCTGAGGAACCCAAGAGCCAGAATTGTTGCTCTAGAAACCATTTTGAGAAAGATTATTTTAAAAGATTTAGCTGTGAACCAACTGTATCCAAACCATGGGCTCAGCACAGTGCTGGCCAGTAGTGCCTCTGGAAGCCCACAGAATCCTGGAATGCTTTAGGTGGGAAGGGACCTCAAAGCTCATCTCGTCCCACCCCCTGCCATGGGGGGACACCTTCCCCTATCCCAGGCTGCTCCAAGTCCTGTCCAACCTAGCCTTGGGCACTGCCAGGGATCCAGGGGCAGCCACAGCTGCTCTGGGCACCTGTGCCAGGGCCTCAGCAGCCTCACAGGGAGGAATTCCTTCCCAATATCCCACCTACTCCCCCCAACCATCCTGCAGCAGCAGCTGCAGCCCCACACCTGGACCAGGTGGATTGTGCTGCCCTTCCACAGGACACAAACCCAGCTCTGATGTTTCTCACCCCAGACATGGAGCACCTACGTCAAGGCTGAGCCAGAGCCATCCGGGAAAAAAGCAACACACACCATGCTAAGGAAAATGAGTCACTGCAACACATCAGGATGAGGATCCATGCTATTGTTTAAACACTTGAAGAGGAGAAAAATACCCCACTAGAGGCAAGGAGAGAGCTCTGCTAGCTCCCAGCTCCCACGTCCTTACAGCTGAATTCCACATGGCTGTGGAACATCCTGGCACACCCCCTCATGCACACACAGCAGCCCATGGACACAGCCTGGGAAGCAGGACCACGTTACATAAACCAGCCGGGTCAGCCAGCGGCGATGGTGCAATCCCACTTCTCTGAGGGCTGGGAGCAGAGCTGAGGAGCAGGACAGGCAGCAGCAGCCTCCCCCTCCTGCAGGAACAGGGGGTGGGTGCACAGCAGCCTCTGTTCCAGACAAAAGCCTGTCCTGCATGTCACACCTGTGTCCTCAGCCAGGTGCCACTGATGGCACCAGCACAGACCTGGGGGGACCCCTCCACCCCAGAATGTGCAGCTTCTGAGCACCACAAACACGTCTGCACCTGCCTCTAGCTCGAGCCAGGCCAAGGACCACACAGGCTTGAAACACTCCATGGTTGCAATGGGGTGGTGCAAGAGCAGAGCAAGGTGCCAGGAAGTCTTTTCCCATCTCCAGCATCTGATTCCTGCTGGAGTGAACCATGTCAGGGAAGAGAAACAGGCTCCTGCTAAGCACCAGCCTGACTGTGCACACTGATTCCTGCTGGGATCTCCAACCCAGTGGCTGAGTCACTTCCTCCCCAGTCCCCACCTAACAGGTTATCTGCACCTCCCATACACCTTCCCAGAGTTTGTGAGAGCCCAGTTTGTCTTTAAATGGGTCTGTGAGTGCCATGAACCCCTCTGGGTCTCCTCTGGGAGCTGGGCTGCTGCTACCCCTCAGCTCACCCACTTCCCCAGGAAGGATGAGCTCTGGAGAGGAAGGGGAAGAGCTCTGCAGAGGAAGGAGAGGATGTGTCTGAGATAAGAGTCACACGGCTGCAAAGCACAGGGGTAACAGGGGAGCCCCTGAGCAGGGGGGTCTCATGGGCTGCTGCTCCCACCCAGCAGCCACAGCCTCTCCCAGCAGCTCTCTCTGCTCTCCTCTGCACTTGGTTTCCTTCTCACTGCTGCCAGTGCAAACATTTCCAACATCTTTGCAGCCAGAGAGAGACTGGAGCCCTGGGAAAAGCAGATCCCTGTCATGACATTCCAGCTGTCACGAGGGTCAGACAGCCCTGCAGCGAGTTTGGGCTTCAACTCTCAGCCCAGCATGGAACGTGGCACAAACACCCTTGACAAAGAGCAGCTCCAGCTCTGGCTCATCAGCTCTGCCTGGCCCCAGCCACCCCACAAAGGTGACACCCCAAGGCAGACACCACAGCAACCCAAAACTTTACAAATGCACAACACGTTTAAGAGAATTAATGAACATTTGGAAACTCTCTCCCCAGACAGGGAGTTCAGGAGCACAAACCCATGGAGACACTGGGCCACCCTCAGGACACGTCACCTCCGTGTGTCCTGCCCCTGGAACAACCCTCACTGCTGCAGTGGCACTCCTGGCCCTTCCAGATCTGCCCTCCTGACTCCCGAACCAGAGCAGACACATCCCACACCAGGCCATCTGTCAGGCTCACCACACAGCACCACCAAACACAGCCCTTGTGCCATTTTCAAGAACATTCCCAACTTTCAGCCCATTTTATCTCTTTACACAACCACTGAGCTTTACCTGGCCACAACTATTTCCAAATGCACATTTCTTAGGGATGTACAGCGAGGACCCACACAAACCTCTGCCCAGAAATCCACAGCTCAGCCCCTGACAACCAAGCAATACCATTTTCTCCATGCCAAAGCTTTGTAACAGCTCTTCCCAACTGCTAACAAATCCAACAGCCCATCCAGGGGCCTCATGCACCAGCCACTCTTCTGCTACAAGACTGACTTGCTTGACCAGATTCTACTTGCTGATTTTCTTTTGAAGACTACTCAGCTTTATTCCCTTGTTTTCCAAGTTCTCACAAGCAGGCCCTGCTCCATGGCTCGTCCCAGCCACAGTTCCTGAACTGGGATAATCAGAAACAAGGAAAACAGACAAGAGCTGAAGGAAGCGGGGGGGTCTCCTCACACAGCCATGGCTTTGTCCACCTACAGACATCACTAAGAACAGATGTGCACATGTGGAGCAGAGCAGTTCTCCAGCCCCTTGTCCACGTGCCTCTTCCTTCAATTAAAAAATACAGGGAATTTGGTACGACAAAATTGGTACAACAAATTTGGTACAACAAACATATGGAAATATGGATTGGCTGCTCTCTGGATCCTGGTGCTCCCCACCAGCCCAGCACCCAGGGTTTGAGGGTGGGATGTGGCATTTCTGTACCTGTATCCGAGTCTTTTTGATCTCCATTTGTTCCGACAGTGAAAGGCAACTTGCGTTTGGTCGCTCGCTCTTTCACCTCTTTGCCGCCATCGCTCCGGTCCAACTTTGGAGTCTTGGTTAGAGAAACTTTATCTTTATCCTGGAAAGGAAAGAGAGCAAGGTCAACAAGAGCCTTCTCCACACTGTGCTCACCTGACTCCCCAAACCCTGCACAGGCCTCACAGAACACCCCTTCAATTCTGCTGTGGGCTTGCCAAGGCAGCCTCCACCAAGATACAAAGCTCTACCACCACCAGAGAAGAGCCAGGCCAATCAAGGCTGCTGTGTGGTGCCAAATTCCAACCAATTCCTGTGAAAAACTAAGCCAACACTTTGTGTGAAGCTCAGGATGCACACAGCTGCAGGCACAGAGGGAAGGCAGGCTGGGATGGGGGAATCTGAGGGTTTCCAAATGCAACCACACCACAAGAAAGACCCATTCCTGCTTTGTATCAGCCCTGCTTGTTTGGGCTGGTTTGGATTTTAATATGAAGCAGAAATGCTGCGAACTGCTCAAAAGCAGGGAGAGATTTTGAATGAACATCCCAAGCAAAAGTTACAGACACTGAGACAGGTGAGATTTTTCACCTGACCAGGGAGAACTGCTTCCCAGCTCAGACTCCAGGAGTCCAGTGTGCCAGGAATGCACAGCCCCAGGTCATGCCCTGTGTTTTTTGTGTGTGAGGAACAGGATTATTTTAAGTGAGCAGTTCTGTACTGACCACTGTGCCCCTGCCTGAACAACAAGGGCAGCACAAGCAGCTTGGTCACAGATCTGATTTCCACAACCCAGCAAAACCCAGACCCTGCGCTTGAGAGGCAGAGTGAGATTAAACACAGGAACCTCAGCACACGAAATCATGCCAGAGCGTGGCTGGAAGCTCAGATGAGCCAACCCAGGAGCATTCCCTTGTTTAGAGAGGCACAGTCCTGCTGCCTGGCCCTGGCAGGTGGCCCCAGTGCCAGCAGTCACAGGACTGTGCTGTCACTGTCACCGTGTCGCTCCTTCCTCTTTCCGTGTGTGTCTGGAGCCCACAGCTCAGCCAGGGAGGAAAGAGAAGCCCCTGAGCTGCCCCAGGGGGATGTGTTTGCATCCCTGCACCACAGGCAGCGTGACAGCGCCGGGGCCAGCGGGGATGAAGGAAATGGGTTGGGGAATCCCTTTTTTGGTAAAGCAAGAGAAACAAACCTGCCTGGCAGGGCTCTGCGGTGGGAGGCAGCCAAGGCACGCTCGGAGCCCCAGCAAGGGCAGCCCTGCTGGAGAGCAGCCGCCGAGCACCGGCCCTGCAGCGACGGGACAGAGCCCCCACCGCCAAAACAAACACTCCAGCATTTCCTCCAAACCCTCCACACTGAAAAGCTTTTGCTTTTTATGCTTTCTAAGGGGAACAGAAATAGTTCGGACTAAAAAATGATGCCACTTCTACTGCTCTGAGGTGGCAGTGAGGGCAGAGAGCTTCCATCGCCTGCCAGGAATGTCATGTTGTGAGCAGGTACCCTGGGCTGTCCTAGTTCTATGATTCTATGAGATATTTTATCAAAGGAATAAAATAAAATGTGTATATTGCCTGAAAAAAAAAAGCCACCAAATAAATAATGCACCTTTTTCTACAGTGGCCATTCAGAGTCTGAACTTTTCCTTATATCTACCTGAATAAAGGGCATCTCTGAACACTTCAGACAGGAGTCTGTGAGGTTCCTCCAGGGTGAAGCAGTCAGGGCACCATGGCTGTCAGAGTTCAAGAAGCATCTCAATGATGCTCTTAGACATACAGGTAGGTTTTCTGCTGGATTAATGCTGCCTGGGATCTCCGTGCACTCAGGAGTGAGAAAAAGGGCAGGACAGGTAAAAATACAGCTCATTCAGAAAGTCTGAATCATGGAATTGTTTGGGTTGGAAGGGACCTCAAAGCCCATCGTGTTCCAAGACTTGCCATGGGCAGGGACACGTTCCACTAGCCCAGGGTGCTCCAAGCCCCGTCCAACCTGGCCTGGGACATTTCCAGGGATAGCCACAGTTGCTCTGGGCACCCTGTGCCAGGCCCTCACCACCCTCACAGCCAAAGATTTCTTCCCAATATCCCACCTAACCCTGCCCTCTGGCAGTTTAAAGCCACGTTGTCAAAATCTCCCTGTGGGAGGCGAGACAGAGCAGGGGAAGCATGAAGAAACCCTCCTGAGAGCAGAGACGAGCCCAGCGTGGCCCTGGCAGTGTCCGTGTGAATCCTGGTGCTGGGCATGCTCGGGCAGAGCTGCCTCTGCATGCACCCCAAGGCTGGGAGCTGCTGCTCCAGCCAGCTCAGCACAATTCAGCACCAGGCAGCCAAGGAAGCGCCGGTGCCGCTTTGAAGATTAATTCCTACAGTAGCACAACGATAACCTTTCTACTAATTGGAGCAAGGAAGATCCAGACTTTGCTTCCCCCTGGAAAGCAGAGACCTGCTGTGGGGATGCCTGCAGCAGTGGGTGGAACATCAAGGCTGGAGAGTCCCATTCCTGAAAGTTTTCGTTTTCTTATTTCAAGCTTTACTTCCCTAATTATTTCCAATTCTATAATGAAGAATGTTGTCCTTTACTCGAGTAAACCCTGGCTTCATTTTTAGGCCTTCTCATGTTTAAAGTAAGCTCAGACTCATTGGAATCAGGTTTCACAAATGGAACAAATCCAAATTAGAATCACAAAATCCTGGAATGGTTTGGGTTGGAAGAGACCTCAAAGCTTATCTCATCCCAACCCTTTCTGCCATGGGCAGGGACACCTTCCACTAGATCAGGCTGCTCAGAACCCCATCCAGCCTGGCCTTGCTGTTGCAGAGAAACCTGTATGAAGAGCCCTGTGTAAGAGCTGGGGCTCTCCAAGGCCGGGACAGGAGTTTGGGGATGGGGAAGAGTCGAGAGCTCAGCAGCAGCAGCAAGTTCCCCTTTGCAGGTGTTAATAAAAGCTGCTCTGGCAAAGGGCAGCCAGCAGCTGTGAGTGCAGCAAAAATCCCCTCCTGCCACATTACACTTGCAGCAGAGTTACTGTATGAGTAACAACCCACCTTGAGCTACTCTTGCAAAAGTGAAAAGATGCACCACGAGCTGCTCTCAGCTGCTGCGGTTGGAGCACAAAGCCACCAGGAACTGGCCCCAGCAGCCACCCAGAGTGAGATGCTGCAGGGTGGGGATGGAAAGGCTTCTCCCACCAGCACCACAGTCCCTGATACCAATCTGCTCGGGGCACTTGTGACACACAAACTGGCCAAAGGCCAGTGCTCAGAGCAAAAACAATCCTGTGGGGTTTTTTGAAGCAGATTTCTGCAAGACAAAGCCATTTAGATGGGGCTCTCAGCAACGTGACCTAGTGGAAGAGATGACATGAGCTTTAAAGTCCCTTCCAACCCAAACCAGCCCATGACTCTATGATTTACAAAGCCATGCAAAGAAATGTGTATTTCCAGCCCCGTCACCCTGCTCAGACAGAGCCTGACTCGCAGCCCAGCGCTTGTGCAGAGACTTGCACTGCCAGCCATGGAAATCCCCAAAGCCCTTTGTTCTCCAAAACCAGCTCCAAGCATTTCAGGTGGTGATGTCAGTAAAAATTAGGCAGCAATGAACAAAACCAGCCCGGGCAGCCTGGGAGGAGGAACCCAGGAGGGCTCCAAGGCTGGTGCCCCGGGCCATGCCCCACGTCAGACTCCTGCTGTGGGCAAACAACCCACGCTGCAAAAAGCAAATGCTGCCACAGAGGGACTTTCCCTGCACCAGTGGGTCTGTCCTGGCCCTGCCAGCGGGGAGGGAGAGGGGGCAGAATGTTCCCACCCTGTATCACAAAAAGGAATGGACTCAGTTTTACCCAGAAAGCAACTGGATGTGGTGAAAACCAAACAATTCCCTAAATCTGGGTCCCCCATAGCCCAAAGCCAAAGTACAAAACAAGCACACACAAAATGCCAGAGAGTTTGAATTTGTGTTGTTATCAATGCTGCAATAAAATGTGGAGCGTGGAGGTGACTGGAGCTGAAGCCTGTGAGCCTCAGGCACCAAAGTTTATAAGAAATATGACCCAGTGATGAGCACAGGCTGATTAACTTCACTGAAATGTCATCTCTTCAGTCACCCAGACACCCCTGCAGGCTTCACACCCCGGTGGGTGACTCTGTGCTGGACACAGAGGCCAGCACTCACTCATCCAGCCTGGAAAACCCTGACAGCACTACAGATTCATGAGGAACCGAAAAATAAGGACCATGCTTCCTTTTCTGAAAAGGGGATAAGGGGAAGGAGAAAAACCTCACTTTTTTTTAATCTCTGCCAGCTCCTACAAGCAAGAACTGGGGTAAATGCTGTTCTGCTTGGTGCTCACTGCAGCAAAAATGCACTTTTGACTGTGCAAGAGGGAGCATTTCCCCATAAAGAGGCAAAGGCTGTGCTGAGCACACGGTGTAACCACGCAGCCAGGCCAGGCCCATCAGGAAATGCTTCTGACAACTGATATAACCCTTGCTGTGGTGCTCTGCTCTGCCTCAGTCATGAGTAATCTCCTCCTGCTACGGGGATCTGTGGATCTAGACCAGAAAGGAGAATTATTCATATAAGGCATGCAGATTTTTACAAAAGCCTCCAGGCTGAAGGGAGCAGGAGGAGCCCGGGGGCTGCCAGCGCCCGCCCCGGGCAGGCTTGTGCAGCCTTATAAGGGCTCCACTAACCCTGGGAGAAACAGCTCCTCATCCAACAGCACGGAGCACCCAACGCCCTCAGACAGGCTCTTCGATCCGCTTCACTCTCAGGCCTGCATCCCAGCAGCTCCTAAGTCCCTCCTGTGGAGGGGCAGGGAGCAGGGAGCCAGGAGTTCCCTCCTAGAAGGCAGCAGCTCCCGGCCTCTCCTCCAAGCAGGAGCCCTCTGGAGCAGGGCAGCTCCCCTGAGAGCCTGCTACGGGATGGAGCACGGAGCTCAGGTGCAAAAGCTGCTGATCACAGAATCCTGGAACGGTCTGGGTGGAAGGGACCTCAAAACTCATCTGGTTCCACCCCCTGCCATGGGCAGGGACACTTTCCACTAGCCCAGGCTGCTCCAAGCCCCATTCAGCCTGGCCTTGGACAATTCTAGGGATCCAGGGGCTTCTCTGGGCACCCTGTGCCAGGGTCTCCCCACCCTCACAGGGAGGAATTTCTTGCCAATGTTCCACATAAACCTCCTCTTTTTCAGCTCAAGGCCAGCCCCCTTGTGGTGCTCAGCCCACTGCAGCACCAGGACCCCCCTCATCTGCCAGAGCTGCAGAGCCCAGGCACGTAAAGCCTGTTTAATGCTAAATCAACTATTGACACTGAGGTCCCATTCAGAGGAGCACACTTGGCTGGCATCACTTTGCTCTCCCGTGCCCACGGCGGGTCCCCGTGCCTGACCCGGGCTCTGCCCTCCCTGCCCAGCCTCTCGGGGAAGCTGTGCCAAGGCCCAGCTCGGGCCTTTGAACGTGTTGACAAAGGCAAGATAAATGCAAGGCAGCGGTTGCTGACAGGCAGGTACAACAGCGTCTGCAGGGAGGAGGTCGAAGTGCTTTTCCCCTGAGTCACTGCTCCAGCTCAGCTTCAGAATTAACCAGAAACAGGGCAAAAGCCACTCGGGCTGGAGCTCGGCTCAGCCTCGGGAAGACAAGAGCCTGTGAGCGTCTCCTCTGTCGAAAAAGGCAGAACTGAAGGAGCAGAACTCTGCCCTGTCCCCTCTCAGTGGCACTCTGAACGGAGGCAGGAATTGTGTCCTAGTTATTTAGCCAGCAGGAGATAACTCCGCTTCCCGGCGTGCCCCGCGCCGCTCGACAAACCTGCTCTGTAAATAACACGCAGCCTTTAAGCTGCCGGGAGTGGATGGAATAAAATGGGAGCTGATTCATATTCCAACTGATCCTCTCCCTCCCCAAGCACCTGCGCCAGCATTAAGCTTCTTACCCGGCGCAGAGCGAGCCTGTATTTACATATCCTGCACTGCTGGGCACTGCCTCCTTTGCCAGGGTAAAGACTGGCATTTTCCCGGTGCTGCCAGGCAGCTGTTCCCCCTCCAACATTCCCAATCCCAGATTCTGCCCCCTCCTAGAAGCCCCACAGCACTCCTGCACTGACCTGCACGTGCAGTGACACGGAGAGGAATGGGGCAGATGCCACTCCAAGGTGCTCCATAACCAAATCCTAGCTGGGATTTTCCTGGTGGTTATTCTGTATTTTTCTCATTTTGTCAATAATATGAGCTCAGTCATACAAGGAGTTACTGCCATCACTGGGGTGGGATTGCAGGGGAAGTGATGGAGCTGGGGCTCACCATGCTCAGCTGCAGCTCCCAGGCCTGGCAGAAACTCCCAGGGGAATGCTGAGAAACTGGAGCAAGGAGATGAAAGGGAAGTGGATGAGATTTGTTCCTTAGCAGAATTCAGCAGATGTAGGTTTTCATGTTTATTTAAAGGTAACATTTGCACAGTTTTCTGCACAGCTATTGACTGGAAATGACTGATACTGAGAAGGGGGGAAAAAGCTGAATGAGAGCAGACTGGGCTCATGCCTGGAGCAGAATGGGATGAAGAGGAGAAGTGTGAAGGTATTTATCCTTAAACTCAGATTTCATCTCAGTAGTTTCGCCTAAGCCACACCAAAAACCAGACAACATCTCAGATCAACTCTCAGAAGCAGCAATTTCAACAGAACAACTCCCAGGCTGAGCCTGGTCCAGCGGTGCTGCTGGGGAAAGCCAGAGCAGCCGTGACCTGCATTTCCACCCAGAGGAGGAGAAGCTCCTCCCTCACCAGCACACACTTACACTATCACAACATCACTCTCCACAGTGGAGTGCAGAAACCCCTAAAAACACACAGAACTTGCAAAAGAGGATCTTCCAAAGCAGCCCCTGTTGCTCAGCTGACTCGGACCCAGGTGAGCACAGCACTTCCCAGAAAGGACTGCAGCCACAGGGAAACAAACCCAGCCCCGTCAGCTGGCAGAACACCAGCACACCAATGTAAATCCCCAGCTAAGAGCCCAGGGCAGCCTCCTGCCCTCTCAAACAATGCCATGGCTTCAGGATCCAGGCTCAAAGAGCAGCACCCCAAAGGAGGGCAGGTGGCCGGGAGACGTTACCTTTTTCCCCGTTTGTTTCTCCACCATGTCGTTGCTGAGAGAGAAATCTTCTGACTGTGGTGTTTTAGAACACCCACCCTTGGGCATCGTTCTGCCTTCCTTACTTGATCTTCATTTATGCTGCCATCGCCTCATCATCAACCGTCTGTCAGGAGAGAGGAAAAGGGAGGTCAGACATCTCAGAAGGATCTCTCCATTGTGGGGGGACAAACAAGGCACTCCCCGTGGGGATAAACCCCCTCCCAACCCCTGGACGGCAACATCAGGATGGCAGAGCAGCCTCAAATGTGGAAAAAGCTGCAGCAGGCTCCTGCCACCTTCCCAGAGAGTAACAGAGATGCTGCAAGGAATCACATGTGGAATCACACAGAATCACTGAACTTGGGAAAGACCAAAGGACCACTGTGCCCAACGCCAACCTTGTCACCAGCCCAGAGCACTCAGTGCCACATCCAGGCCTTCCTTGGACAACACCTCCAGGGATGAGGACTCTGCCATCAGACCCTTCCAATGCCTGACAACCCCTTCCATGAAGAAATTCCTCCTGATTTCCAACCTGAACCTCCCCTGGCACAGCCTGAGGCTGCTTCCTCTCATCCTATCACTTGTTTCCTGGGAGAAGAGGCCAGCTCCAAACTGGATCCTGCAGCTGCAGACATGGCTTGTTTCATATGCAAGGAATAGCCCAGAAGGGATCAAATCCCACAGAAGAGCAACAGCCCTGCTGCTCTTCATGCACAGCATCACCCCAAGCCCACATACAGGCTCTGTCCTGAAGGGGGGACACACCCCGGGCTGGGACAGCCCTGCACCCCAGTTTGCCACGCTGAATTCCCAGACACACTTGCAGAACCGAACAAATTACAAACCCCCCATTAAAAATGCACTTTATGAACGCGTTGCCATCGTGAGGCGGGAGCAGGGAGCGTGGAGGGCTCGGTGCTCCAGGACTGGTTTGTCACAGCTCCTCACCCTGCCCTGCACCTTGGCCTGGGAAAGCCAACCTGGAGAGGACAAAGCACTCCTGCTCCTCCTGTGTTGCCTGGATACAGGGCTGGGAGACAACTGCCGTGTGAAATACAGAGAGGCACGAGCTGGAGCAGGGCTCAGGAACACCAGCTGCAGCCAAAGCCCTTTCAGGTGAACAAGAATATCTCCTCTCCCAAGAGCAGAGGCTGGAAAGCATCAGTTATCTGTGAGGAGTGACCCCCAGCAACCCCAACAGCAACTGGGCTCCTGGCCTGAGGCTGGAGTGGAACAGACAGGAACTGTTCCCAAAATAATTGTCACCTGCCAGCTCTAAATTGCACCATTTACATCTTACAGCAGCAGCTCTGCAGAGCTACAACTGCAGGAAATTGTCCAGGGAGATGGGAATTCTCAGGCAGGAGAGAGAGAAGTGTTGTATTGAGAAGTTCTCTGGAAATCCCTTCAAAATTTCTGTTCCACTTACGCCTCAGAGGCCTTGGGACACTTTGGGTTGTTTTTTTTTTGTTTTGTTTTTTAAGGTGGTTCAGAGGCCCCAGCCCAGCCCTGAAGCAGCACAAACTCCCAGACCAAAGCAGCAGGCACAGACAGCGCTGGTGTTTCCAGCAGGAGACTCTGCTTCCCAAGGCACACTCTGGGATTCTCCAGCCCAGCTCCTCTGCCTGGCTGTGGGAAGGCTGTTATCCACATTTAGGAACAAAACTCTGGGGACTGAGAAAACACCTCCTCGTGCCCCCCTGCTCGACACGGGGACAGCTTTGGGACAGCCCACCAGAGCCCACAGGGTCCCCCCCGTGCTGCACATCCACTGGGTCCCTGCAGGAGCAGCTCCAGCCATTCCCAGCCCCAGGAATCTCTCTCTGCCAGGCATCATTAGCCAGCTGGGAACATGTAAGAATTATTTCCCCTCTGTTTCTCTTACAGGGGCTCATTAAGGTGCAGATACAGGAGACAGGAGCGTGTGCCTGGGAGGAGGCAGGAGCAGAGGACAATATCCCCTTCAATATTCACTGCAAATCTAAGAGGTGGAAATCCAGATGAACTGCTGGGCAAGGGAAATTTATTTACTCCTTGTAACGGATATTAAACCCAAGCAGCTTCACCTCTGCTGACGATGGGACCAGCCACACTCTGCTCCCAGCAGCAGCCAAAACCCAGCCCCACGTCACCGCTCACAGCACCCCAGGATCTGCACACTGCCAATGTATTCCCAAAAAAATCCTGCCCACTCCCAAGCCTTTGTGGCTGCTTGTACCAGGGTAGGCACCTATTCACGTGGAGCTTCCAAAACCTGTTTAACTGAGAAAAGGCCAGACGGATGCCAGATTAATTCTGCGCCCCTTCTGTTCGCGGAGCTGACTCATTACACTTGGAAAGCCGGCTGCCTCTCCGGGTAAACACAGCCCTGGCCTGTTCCACAGCTTGCAGGGAGTATCACATTTGCACAACAATTACTGACAACGACGCAGCCCTCGTTTCATTTTTAAGCACGTTTAATAAGTTCGTTTCATTTTTAAGCACGTTTAATAGGAGTCAGAGGGGAGGCACGGATTCCTGGCTGGAAGAGCCTTCCCCAGCTCGAGACAGCATTTGCAGAGTGGCAAATCTAGGGCTGCAGAATGACAATTTGGCTTCAATCCCTCCTAATTTAGGAGCTGGACGAGTCACCCCCTTTCCACGATGCCCCTCTCAAGCTCACCTCCCTACAGAAGACAACCAGCACCCTTCCTGTCTCACAAACAATTAACTCAGCTCCTCGCAGGAGCCCATTACATGTGGCTGCACAATAGCAAGTGGGAGACCGAGTGAGCTCAACAGAATATAATCCCTCGTACTTCTCCAGGAAAACAAAGGAGCTGTTTACCCCTGGCCAGGGGCCAGCCCGGTGCACACCAGGCCCCCAGCCTGGTCACAGCAGACCCTGCTGCTGGAGAGGCTGGATCCCACACAATCCCCTGGGAAAGTGGTGAAGAGAGAGGGGGAGCCTGCCCTGGGATGGACTGGCCTGGGCATGGCAGCTCCTGGTTTCATCCTGTTTCAGGATGGCTGGATCCAGCAGGGAAGGCTGTGGTGGTCTCAGCCATGGAGTACTGCCAGCCAGGACAAAGCTGGAAGAGCAGGGCTGACACCCAGCACAGCCACCCTGCTCTGGACTGGGGACCCTCCTGGTCCACCCTGCCCTGGGTGGGGGTCAGAGCCCCCACAGCACCCCGAGCAGCCTCCCAGAGGATGGAGGAACAGGACTCTCTGGAACAGAGTCAGGAGCAGGGCTGGAGCCGTGCAGAATGAGCCTGGCTGGCAATGGCAGGGCTCTGCAGAGCCAGCCCCGGGCACACCCACCCACGATCGTCCCCTGTCCCCGCACTGGGACAAGCAAACAGTTGAAAATGGTTTTTGTTTTGCCCAGGGCATACCAAGTCCAAACCACACAGAGAGACCAAATATGTCTGTGAAGGACCTCAAAAGGCCACGGTCCCAAAAGGGATGGAAGGGAAGGGGGTGCCATCTGCCCCGTGGAGGGAGGAGGAAGAGGAGGAGGATGAAAGCACTGCTGGCTTCAACCCCAGGACATCTGGGCAGCCGGGAGGCAGCGTGGGAGCAGTGGCACCCATTAGCCAGGACAGGCTCCCAGTGAAGGCCAAGGGCAAACTGGGACAGGGACAAAGAACAAGGACAAAACCCACAGAGGGACTCCAGCCCCTGCCAGACAACACCAACACTGGGCTTGACAGGAGAGCAGCTCCTCATTAACCAGCCCTATGGACATTTAAACTCCCCATCCCTACCCCTCCTGCTTCATGGAACCAGTGAGAAACACCCCAACATCCTTATCTGTGCCACGGGCAGGGACACCTTCCACTGGACCGGGGTGCTCCAAGCTCCTTCCAACCTGGCCTTGGACACTTCCAGGGATGGGGCAGCTTCTCTGGGCAACTGCCCCACCCTGACAGGAAAGAATAAAGAACATTTCCAGATGTATCTCCGAGGGGAATGACAGCCTTTCCTGGACCCAGCCCTCCTTCCCTGCCCTCCCGCAGAGCAGCCAAACTCCTGCCATTCAATCTGAAGCCACAACAAATGAGCTCATGCCCACGATCTGTGCACTGCAGCCTGCCTGTACCCCGCCAGCTTGGAGTAAAAAAGATTGTGAAGCCTTCTTTAAATGCCAGAATAGGAGGGAGCTGGCTGGAGGCTCCTGCCCATGCAAACCCCCCGATGCAATTAAAGCCCCAGACATTATTTGCACAGATCCAACACATTTGTTTGGTCTGAAAAGGTTGGAATAGGAACAAGCATGTGAAAAACGAAAATTTTAATACTTCAGTCTCCTTTTAAGGATGCTGTCTTAAATCTTTGAAAATTGCCTTAGATTAATAACTCACACCCACAACTTGACACTTGTCCCCCAGCTCTGGAAAGCAAAGGCACAAAACCAAGAGCTGATGTCTTTCAACACACAGCACCACTGAAACCCAGAATGGTTTGGGTTGGAAGTGACCTCAAAGCTCATCCCTTTCCACCCCCTGCCATGGGCAGGGACACCTTCCACTAGAGCAGGTTGCTCCAATCCCTACCCAACACTTCCAGGGATGAGGCAGCCACAGCTTCTCCAAAACACCACTGTCCCAGCCTCAACCCAGCCCTGCTGCGTGCTCGGGCTGCTCCACCAATGCATCCATCCACCTGTGCCAGCACCATCCTCCGCCTGTCTGGCCAACACGAGCCACAGTTAGTCCCTAAAGCTGCCTGTGAGCACCAGAAGGACGTGCAGTTTGGGGAACAAGGAACAATTGCTCTTTGTGCTCCAGCTCAGAGCAAAGTCCATGGTTTTCCACAGCGAGTACACACGGCCGGGAGCAGCAGGAGCCCTGCAAACCTGCACAGCAAACACAGGTGGTTTCCTCAGCACAAAGATTAGCTATTACTGAGATAGAGCAGTGCAAGGTGCTAATTCTTAGAGGCAGAACTCAAACCAAGGAGGATGGAGAGCCCGTGTTTCCTGGCGTGCAGGCGGCGGGGCAGCACTGTCAGCTGCTGTCACAGCTGGGCTCACCCTGGTCTCACAGCTCCCTCATGTCCTCACCTTCAACTCCACATCCTTCCTTACCCTGGGGACCTGTTACCTGTTTGTTCCTGGCTTTTAAAAGGGAATTAAGT